CTGATGGACTTGCGCGAGAGGATGGGTGCGGCGGCGGAAGCGGGGTTGGCGGATGAAGAGCCGGCGCTCGGGGCGGTGGAAGAAGCGGAGGCTTTGCTCTTTGTGAGACTTGCCATGAGCGGCTGGTAGTACTCTTGGTCGATGAGGGTGAGGCTGGCTACGAAGGACCTCTCTGTTTCGAGGAGCTCGCGTGCGCTGCGATGGCGATGGGCCATCATTAAGGACGAGTCGGTGGGCTGGTGTGGTGCGGTAGCGGCTCGACGAAGGAAAGCGCTGGGACGTGTCGATCCGGCCGAGATGGTGGAGGATTGACTTTCGGAGCTGGTCGCGGTGCCATGAGCTGAGGAGTGGGTATCGAAAGGAGCCTCGTCGGCCAAGTTGGGACTGTCGTTGATGGACGCGGCTGAGGAGCTCGCCAGAGAGGAGGTGGAGGCCGAGTGAGCCGCCACGGGTAGAACGGCGTTGGCAGGGATGCGCGGGATGCGATCGTAGTTGCTGGAGCGTGGTTTTGAGTGCGAAGGGTTGGGCGACAGGAAGCCATGCACCATCTCGTCCTCGGGGAGGCTCTCGAAGCTGGAGACGCTTGCTACGCTGAAGCGAGGGTTGAGGGTGGGGACGGTAGGCAGGGAAGGGCGCCTGTTGGCCAAGGCGCCGGTGTGTGCGCTTTGAGCTCTCACCCTCCTGCGAGGGGGGTTGGCGGTGGCAGCGTCTGTGGAGGAGCGAGCGGATGCCGGGAAGCTGAGCTGCGCTGGCACGGTGGGGCTGGGGATGAGGCCGAGTGCGGATGCGAGTCCGGGGCTGAGGAGATCGGCACAGGACGTGAGCTGGCCGTGCACATGACTGCCGGAGGAAGCGTTGGATACGACGGAGGAAGGACGGGACGAGGCGAGGGAGGTGGCTGAGATGGGTCTGCTGATGGGAACGCTGGCGCCAAAGTAGTCTGCGGACGATGCGGCGGAGGAGTCATCGGATGCGATGGAATGCCTTTGCAGCTGGGCAGAGTGCTGGGCGTCTTCGAAGCTGTTGGAGAGATGCGTGCTGACGGTGACGCCCGGCGGAGGCATGGCTCGCGGATCTGAGAATGTGTCGAGGCATTGCGCTGTGGAGGAGGTGGGCAGATGTGGGTGATTCGAGGGCGTTGTGGGAGAAGCGGGGAGAGTGGGGAAGGAGATGACGGAGGAGTTGCTTCTAGGAATGGACTCCATGGT